AGTTGGGCTCGATTTTGGACTTCCCCAGCTGGGCGAAACAAAAAATGGTCGAAGAATGCTCGGATCCCACTGATTTGTAGGGCTTCTCGCGCTTTCAACTCCCGAAGCTGTCCGAGAGTCGCTATCGCTACTTGTCCTGCTCTTCACACCGCCGCAGGACATATGTACTGCGATGGAGGTATGTGCCACTTGTCTCATGTCCTTCCCTGCGCCAGATGGTTTTATGGGGTTCTATGGATGTCTGAATTTGTTGAAAAAATCATGCTAAACTTTCAGATCTCCTCCAAAGACACGACGGACCTCAACTTGGAAAGAAGACGCCTCTTCTTTTATCATTCTTTTATCTGCCCTTCTCTGGGCTCCGCTCCAACAACGCCTCGCAAAACGACGGTTTTTCGCCCTCGAGGCAACGACTTCCCCATGAACGCTCTGCCCAGCTCGGAGGTTCGCATCGGCCTCATGGTTCGGCCGGGGAACCTCGGGGAATCGTCACGCGACGAGTTCGTCACGGTGCCCTGTCGAAGACCATGGGGAGACGGGGAAGACGTTCCAAGCGGTTTCACGGGCGAGCGAGCATGAAGGAACGGGGGTTCAAAGCGAGGGATGAAGTGAAAAGCGTTATAGTTATTGAACAATTGCAGATTCTGGACTTGGGAAGATCCAGCCCGCCTGAGCCCGCCACCTCAACTACATCAGAGCCCGCCCGACTGGTGTCAGTCTGACCTCAGCTCCGAAGTCGCTCCGACGCGGTCGAGGGAACTCCGGTGGAACCGACCGAGGCCGGTGGACTGGATCCAGCACCACATCGCAGGCGGGGTCCGGACGGGGACGGAGTCGATGGGGTTTGTAGAGTAGGAGGGAGGGATGTAGATGGATGGATTTGCCTAGATGGGGCACGCCTTGAGGGTTAACGTGGGTGTTTTTTTTCAAGAGTCTTGTGCGGTCTGTAGTGTGATCTGCCGAACGCCTGCTGGCGAGATAGCTTTTCACCTGAGCAACCCGCGTTCTCACGTATAAAATGACATGCAAATAGTTTGAACACCACCTGGGACCTTGGAATGTGTGACATTCTGGACCCGCCACGGGGGTCATACAAGCCACTATTCTGACCATCGTGGATCACGGCTGAGGCCTTGATCCCATCATCCCAGAAGAGTCCTTGCAGAAGTTCCCCAAGGCACCGGGACAGACTCGAATGTCGGGAGCCGCGAGTCAAAGGTGGAAGGGGGGAGCGCAGAAAACCGGTGATGTGGAGCCACTTGCAGCATTGCCGCTTGCGGCCTGCACTTCAGATGGTTCTTGACTTCAATATAAAGGATGTGTGAAAACTTGGAAGGAGATCCATACACCAGGTTAGATCCACCAGGTTACACCAGTGGCTTCAATGATGATTGCACACAACTGTCCTCCCTGAAACCACACAGAGCCGGGAGAACTTGCGATGAGGCCGCAATCAGCCAACACTCCTTGACTCTGAACAAGATCTCGTCCTGTCTCATCGCAAGCATCGTTCCCAACGAACACCCGCAAAAACCTAAACGCAAGAAAGAGAACCGTTCAGAGCATAAAGGCACATTGGCGAAATCATGCAGCCGGCGTGTTCTGCCAGGCGACAGAACACTTGAAGTCTTTGATGAATAAGAAGCCCTGAACTCAGTCATCAGTCCGTTGAATTGGCAGTGGTTTCTTTGGTTGTTTGGGTTCCACGGTCGCAGCCGAGGCCAGCGCTCTTTTCGGTGAAGACCATTTTGGATCTTGCCATGACTTCGGTGGCTCGCTTGGGAAAGATGGCACCCATTGAAGTACCGTCAAGGTCGCCCCTGGCCCAACCGCTCTAAAAGATCCATCAAGATCCCAACGAGCATCGCCGGCCCATTTTTCGGTCCGCCCTGGCCCACCCCACAGGTGAACATCATGATGGACGCCAATTTGGTGCTCCAGATTGCGGCGGCCACCGCCAAGATGAACCTCACCGGTGGCGGCATCTCCGAGCTCGCGCCGGAGATCCTCACGTGCCCCGGAGATCCGTAGCGACCGGCGACCGGGGTGGTCACGAACGGGCGACGGGCTCGTGAGTCGGCCGGGAGTCTGTCCGGAGTCCGGAGCCCTGTAAAATCATGAATCATGATTGAATCATGTAAGAATCTGTATATAATGAATTGGGTGATTTGGAGATGAATTCATCGTGAGTCCAAGTGATTGCTCGTTCTTGGACGTGTAAGTCGAACAGAACGTGCCAGAATCTGAACTGAATCTCGGTTTCAGGGTCTTGTGGCTTTCAGAGCCTTCTGGCAGATTCTGGCTGGCACGAACCACAAGACCCTCTCATCCATCTATGGGATGGTCTATGAGCCTTAAGAATAGATGGATGAGGCTGAACTGGGAGGCTCGACTCTGTGCCCGCGGCCCCACGTTGACATTTCCTGGCTTTCCCCCAAACACATTCATAGAACGGCCAACCCATGGGGGATTGGTCTATTACAGATCGATGTATACAGTTATGTTCCAGCTGCCCTTCTTGGAGTGGAAGGTTCGGAGAATCTCAATCAAATCAACTGCCATCCCTTCTTCGTCTTCGGGGGTTCTTCGCCGTCTTCCGGCCTTGAACGTCGTAGGCTGTGCGGTGGACGATTAGATCCCTTTGACTTCAATCTCTCCAAGGAGCAGCCCCTTGGAAGAGGAGAAGAAGCCACTAGGGGCAAAGGGCATCGCTATGAACGGAACAAGGACGCTACTTGTAGCTCCTGGCCTTACTACTAGGAACAAGAAGCTATAATAGTAACATGCTTTTGGGGAAGGACGACACGGAGAAGGGACGGGCAAGGACGGTCCGAGGAAGGTCCGACGGTCCAAGGAAGACGAAAACGAAGGCGACGACCTGCATCTACTGACTCGGCGGGCACAAACCCCAAGATGATGTCTTTTAGATGAGGCTCCATATCAACCAGCCAACCTTGAAAGGGCCCAACCGTGCCTATTTCTCAAGAGAAACCATCGCGTCGCCGCCCGTTCCCGTCCTTCGACACGTCCTCCACCCGGAGCGACGTTTTCACCTCCCGAGGCATCGGGAGCTGTATTTCTCCGGGCAGCTCAGTGCGCCGCGCGGTTCGGCCACGAGCCAGTGCGGGCGGCCGGGAGCTGGTGTGGTGGGCTGAGACCAGACATGCTGAGATAGGCTGAGACTACTGTAGCAGCTAATCGCATGAATGGAAGGTGATACTTTTCAGAATCATTTCTGGTCATACAAAGGGCAACATTTAGTCTGAAACAACAACTGTCAAATGCGCTCAAAGGTACCAAATGATGGGTATGGTGAACCTGAATCTCCAGGTTTTGTGCCGTGAGAATCATCAAGTTGGATCCATCGATGGAATGTGAATCGTCAAAAACTCAAGGCATGTACCACTGATGGAAACTCCAAACATGTGCAAACCGTGGTGCGCAAACCGTGATCTGAAATATATAGATTGAAAATGATTGAAATAGCATTTTCTGTCTTTGGTATGGTGGTTCCGGAAGATTCCCTCCTGATATCTCCTGGTCAAGGGTCACAGATTTGCCATAGCCATCTGTTTTGTTTTTCCCTTTTTTGAGATGTTTACAGTAGTTTCGGGGGTACTGGTAACGTTTTGTTCGGACTACTCAGGGGCCCTCCCGAACAGAGGACCTGGCAATATCGGAGGTGGGTCCCAGCAGGATTTTGAGCATCATCGGAGCATTCGATCTGGATCTGCGCAAAGCACGATCGATCGTCACGGAAGGTACTCATCTTCACGCATCGATGGTGGACAAGAGTTCAGAGGTGCTGAGTGATGAAGCGAAGCTGAAACTGCTGCTCTTCAGCATGCACCTGGATTATCCCACCAATTGAGAAAATTCATCGGACAGATCCAGGTTGCGTTGTTTGAGTAGAAAGAGTGCCCGCATTTGTTCGAAGATGTTTGACGTTTGCAAAGGATTGACACATCTTCCACTCAGGACTTGATATGAAGGTTTCTTCTTTCCTTGCCTCAGAGCCCTTGGAGCGTTAGTCAAACACATTCCATGATAATGGGGAAATGGTGAAGGTATGTGTTGATGCAACAAAAAATCATGCAATTTCCCTGTCAGTCAGGTTTGCTGAGGATTTGTTTAGTTAAGATCTAAAGGTCAGAATCTGCACAATTCGAAGCAGAACAAACACGGCCTTCAGCAGGAAAACATGGGTTCCAAGGCAGACATACAATTGCAACTCAGTGGCACTCAGAGAAATCAAATCTGGGGAGACACCCCGGGCCGGCACCACAAACGTTATGAGTTGCAGATGTCCATTGAACGCTATACTATACACCACTCAGCTCCTTTCATCAGCGAGAAACTGCCCCGGCCTCGGTGTCTTCGAGATGTTCTGTACATAAAAGCCATCGAAGTCCGATCTGCTGGCGGCCGATGTGGATCGGAGTCCGACGGAACTCGTCGAAAAACAAACGAGCAGACGAACACGCGCAAGTGCGAAGCGGGACCTTCGCTGCCGTCGAATGGGAGGGAGAAGAGATGCGGTTGGTGCTTGTTTTTTCGGGTCCGATTGCCCCATACGCCTCATGTCGAAGGGAGCCCAACTCGGTCCGGCTCAGATCCCCAGTCATTCCAAAAGGGACCTTCCCCCCCCCAAAACACCCTCCACGCGTTTCAAGACACGCGAGCGATCTTGACACGCGAGTGAGCAAGCGGTGCATGCTTGGTCATGCTTGGTTGGAGAAGCGGTGCATCTGGTCGAGAGAAATGACCCAGAACAGCGATTTGCTTCATAAGCCATTTCTTTCTACATCTTTCTACCAATGAGCTGTGGATTGGGCTGTGAAGTTTTGACCCAGACAGAGACGTGAAAGGCGGCTGCGACGTCAACACTCCCAAGCATCCTATAGCTCTTTTCACCATGGGTTTTCACTACCCTCCACCCGCCCCAATTTTCACTTCCCGATCCCCGCTTTTATCCAGGGTGAATCGGGCCTACCCTGCAGGTATCCTTCCATCGAATCCTTCGAAGCCACCTTGACTCGTGGACGTTGGAAGAGCGCATGGGGTGAAGTGCCTTGGGAGCCACTTGGGCCAACTCCGCGTGACGCGGACGCGGAGGGAGGAGCTTGGAGGGGCGGAGCATGGAGCGGATGGCAAGGAGAATCAATCATGGAGTTTAGAGGTTGAAGGAGATGAGGAGTCTTTTCAAACAACAGGACTGGCCCAAAGTCTTTTCATCATGGCCTTCAGGCAGTAAAAGACCCGGTTAATCATGGTGTTGCTTTGCAATGTTGCTTTGCTTGTTCGCCCTTTCTTGCCAAATTGTTCATTTTGCATCATTTTGCCTATTCAACTTGATGTGATATGATTCTCTGTTTTTATCCTGACACCTGTGAAAGCAGTGTTGGGTCACACTCGTGTGGCAAGGGAGGAATCAATATAACATAATATAACCATAGGAAACACACGTGTTTTCCGCGGGGCCTTTTTTCAGGCTCCGTATCATATTGGATGTATCGTGAATCTTCTTCGAATAAATTCTCGAAGCTATCCTTTGGAGTGTGCGTTGTGCACCGGGACTTCACCCCGAGAACCTCTTCCTCTTCCAGCGCGGACCATTTGGGCGTGTGGACGTTTGCACCATCGGAATCTGGACCAACCGCTTCCTCCTCCGCGCGTCACCGCTCCGCTGAGGTTCCGTCCGCCTGGGGCGGTCTTGGCCACCGCTCTCGCGCAGGCGAGGTGCATGGTCGACGCGAAGCCTGCCGTCTTCGCCTTGCGAAGAGCCATTGTTTCAAGGAGAGGAGATGATGGAGATTGAGCCAGCATGTCCTGTAGCTTGTGTGTTTGGAGACAGAAAGGACAAGGTAAAGAGGAAGAGCAGTTGATGCAGAAGGCTTTCAGAAGGATTTTGTAACTCCAAGGCCAATGACACCGCTTCCACGGCGAGCGCTTATCGCTTCCTAGCCCTGTGGCCCCAGTTTGAGCGGTCATGAGAATTGCGAAAGTCAAGTTGTAGCTCAGAGTGCTGGTGCTAAGGGGAACACATGGAACCAGATCTGATCAGAAGGGGCCCAAAGTGATTCTTGAAGGCTGCGCGTCCTCTAAAAGCCTCTGGATTGTTGGGGGCGTCGCTATAGACTTGCCCTGGCTGTTCATAGGCATGAAGGCAGACGAAATTGGAAGAGGAGAACCTTGGACCCCTCAGATAATTCCAATAGAGAGGAGCATAGTTGAAAACAAACCATTTCTGGCCGACCATCCCTGTTTATTTCCAAAAGCTACTTGATTTGCTTGGAATCTCGACACACCTGAAGCAAATCGGATCTCAGGAGAGTCCATCAAATGGCATGCTTATTTTGGGTTGGGTCCCATATTCCACAGACTGACAGACTTCAATTGGATTGACATCCAGGAACGATTCATACATTGCCCCCTGGCGCGTCAATACACTTTACATTGTGCCTGCCATCAATGCTTCGTTCAGTTGCCTTCAAACTCTGCCCTGCAGACCATGAGCCTTCAGACCATGTCTGCTCCTCCATGGGCCTCCCCAGTCTCTGTCGTTTCATTCCCTTATTGACCTGTTTGCTTCTTCTACTTTTGATGTGAGTCAGAGACACACTATCGTCATGTAGTTTTTAACTGGGGTGTTTTGGCACCACATATCTTCTCATATTACTTTGTTTCACCTCTGACTCTTCTTCTTTTCCCGTCCCACGGACCCCTTCTTCATACTTTTAAGGTGGAGCACCTCCGCTGGCGGTTGAATTCGCCGCCGGATCTACCACTGGTGGCGCGACGCCCACTCAGCAAGTGCCCAGCGTGGTAGAAGGACCTTCAACGTTTGCACCCTTTCCACCTGACCAGGTCGCTCAACAGTTCATCCAAGGGCGAATTGGCACCTGAACAACCAGTGATGAAACGGGGTCACAAGTTAATTGGCCAGCGGTGGACTGAAGCTTAGTGGCAAAAGACAGCTGTTCTCGACAGCATTGAACCTGGCAATCTGCCAACCATGACCACATCTACACACCTTCACATGACTTGGATCACTTCGCAGTGAACTCTGATCCACTACATCCGGGCTCCGGGATGCTCTGGTCCTGCAGCAGGAAGCGTTTGGAAGCGAGGTTCTGGTTTCTTTGGAACCCCCTTTCTTGCAGAAATGGATGGTGAGACTCTCTGTGAAATGGCAGAACGCATTTTGGGAATCCACGACAAGATTGGTGCTTTCTGATCCATGAAGATGAATATCAGGGCAGAATGTTCTTCTTTCGCAGGACTGTTGGACAGCTGATCAGCAGGACAATTGCAGCTGGCTTGGCAATATTTACAGCTCATTGGCATTGGAGTCCAGAGCAGCGATGCATCAGCTTTGATGAGACTTTGCATGCTTTCAATGACCTAAGGCCTAAGTGGGGTTCATCTTTTTTTGGTGCATCACGTCTTTTTCAAGAGCATGCCAACTTGACCTTGACCATGTCTGGTGAAGCTAGCGAATGGTCATGGTGACAATGGTTGGGAAGACACCGCATCATGATGCCATGCGTAGAGTGCACTGCACAGTTGGAGAAGATATTACACCTTTGAGCAGTGATTGCACTGCGCAGTGCGGCATATCATGCAGGACAGGGACACCTACAATGGTAGTATTCTGACAACGCAGCAGTGCAAAGATGTGCAAAGGCTATATTTAACGGCCTTCGGCCAGGTCCGCCGCCCCACCAAGCGTTTGGATTGTAAGAACAAAGCCGTGGTTAGGTATGAACATAACAACCAAAACAAGAAGAATAAGAAAAGGAAGAAGAAGAAGAACAACAACAACAACAGCAACAGCAAGAACGGGGGGGGGAGGGGGGTGAAGTCAGCGAAACGAAACAGCCGCACCAAGGAACATTCTAAGGACAAGGTCACAATCTTTACAAGCTATCTATACAAGCAACCTTCCACAAGACACGCCTCGCCTCTGCACGTGGCAGAGGGTCGGCGGAGGCTAACTTTTTGTGTCATCCCCCGTATTTCCATGATTTTCCTAAAGTCCCTGTTTTTTGAAACCATATACGGGCTTCAGGACCAGGGGTGATCCCATTTTCATTTGCACGTTTCCATACCCGCCATACCCCAGATACTCGCTTGGCCACTCGTTGAAAGATAGACGCTTCGAACGGGCCAAGACTCCCATGACTTCGTGACAGCCGCCCGCAGCGGTAACCCGCACGCGTAACCCGCGCACGCATGGATGCGAGCCATGATTTTCCTAACTCCGCATGCACGGATGAATCGGACGAGGTCTCCACACTGGCGGGCTCCTTGTGTGCCTCCTTCGAAGGCGGCTCGCCCGCGTCGCCGATTCGGCGGGCCAGGAGGTGGTCCGAGCTCTGCGCCGCGAAACAGAGCAACGAGTCGTTGGGAGTCTTTCTTCGTTCGTGCCTGAAGAAAGAGGGGTCAACTCCGAATTTGCACCTATAACGCATCCTAACAGTTTATTCAACCACGAAGTAATTAGGTGGTTTGCCAGTTTGCCGTTCATGTTTTATTTCTTTTCAAGGGTTCACTTCCATGTTCGAAGGTTGGCTGCGCAGTCGTCGGCCGACCGGAAGGCATGAACCCTGCGGTCTCTGCCGAGGGCGAGGTACAGTTGGGGTGCCCAGGGCGGGACGAAACGTGAGCGATGCCGACGAATGAAGAGCCGATTGTGAGACATCTGGTGAGACATCTGAAACGATGTTGATCAATCCCCTGGTTTTCATATGGATTTCTCTATCCCTGCGTGGTTGTGGTCAACCTCCCTGCCCCAAAGTGACGTATAGGACATGTCAGAAGCACCAGAGACACAACAATTCGATCTGTTTCAACACTTCCGCGCCGCTTGTGTGGTTTGCAGTTATGGCGAGTAACAGTCAAGCACCACAGATGGGTTTCGTGACGGTTTGGTGGATACTTGTCAAGGGTTTCCGTTTTTGTCCAACCCATATCCATGCATATCCACCAAACACAATCGTTACAGATGGCTATGCTGTCTCCACAGTAGCCATTCAAAGTCATATATTCCAATCATCGCCATCCGCTGCCCTCCAGGCTCAGCAACAACGCGGGCGCGCGCCCGCTGCAGCTGCCCAGTGCATGGTCCGCCAAAGGCACTAGCTTTCGCTTGGCTCGCACGCCCAGTGAACCGATCGGCGGTGGGTTCTGCGAAGAAGTTTGTTTTTTTCCCTCAGAATGCGCGGCCGGTCTTGGACGTACAGTAATTATCACGTTAGTCACCAAGACAGTCCACATGATGCTATTTTGCAATAATTTGGCAGTTGGATTGTAGAAGAGGATACTCTTCCGGTATAGTGTAGACAGTGCAGTACGTGCCACGTGTTCAGCTTGGCAGGCTAAAGAGGATTGTTTGTCTTGGCAATCTTCGTGACTTCTTGAGACTCTATTTTGGGTTGACCTCTATATACTATAGGCATTCCACTATCCTGTATGAACCTGTAAGACCCCCAAAGACTTCAAACATCTTCAAACAAGGTTACCCTCCTTCGAAAACAGAACGCTCGGACCCCCAGTTCCACCGAACGAGCGCCCTCCGAGGCGACGTTGCCCTACGAGCCGGTTTGCACGGAGAACCTCACCCCATGGCTGAAGCTGTTGCCCTGTGGCCAGGACCTCGGCAAAACCACGGAAAGGCTTGTTTCCTGCCGGAGTCCCTCCGGTCGCCGTGAATTCGGCGAGTATGAATCACAGGGATCGCAGGGCGGCGATGACATGGGGGTGCCACAGGCAAACAAGGTGGCCCCGCAGACTTGAATCATCTTGAATCCAATTTCCTGAAAATGCAAAGTTGACCTTGCAGACATGCGGTGCAGACATGCAGATGAGGATGCTCCCAACTGCTTGGTTTCGACACTCTCACACTTTTCACACTTGTTCACTTGAGACTGCCCCTTCCCATTGCAGCTGCGGCTGCACATCTTGGCCAGCCCTGCCGACTAAGTCAGTCTTGTCACTTGCTGTGTCTCAGCAGATTCCATGATGCAAAGGACCGTGGATGTCGTGCTAAACCGCACAAAAGGGCACGAAGGCTGACTGCTTAGAGACTTTTTATTTTGGTGTTGGCTCCAGCGAATGACACTTGGCGACTGGCGAGAGCACTTGTGGAGCTCTTGAAGCATTCTGACAATGGACTCCGACATGGAAAACCTGTTGCATCTCCAAGACGGATGCCACAAAAGCTGGTGAAGAAGATTACAGTTCTGGCCAATGGCTTCTGGATATTTTTTATCGGTGGTTCACAGATGGGAAGAAGCCCGAAGTGATGAGACATTCAATTCTGCTCTTCATACTAGCCTCATGGCTTAAACATGCCACTACATCCAGCACTTGAGTCTGGATCCGAATGATGAATGAAGATGCTCCCTTTCCACAGTTGCGGCGTCTCCAAACCTGGACTCTCCAGACCTTGCTTCTGCTGCGGCGGCTGCTCCGCTCTGCTCCCCCACTTCCGCCCGAACCGAGGTCGACACCGTGGCTTGGGCGCGCTGCTGAGCTCGCTGGTGCTGGCGGTGGCCGAGGCACCCTTGACGTCCCTGACCTTGGCGGCCAGGTCGGGCGGGCGCGGACCGTGAACGGGGCGGACAGGTGGGTCACGACACGTCACCCATCCCCAAATGAAAAGAGAGGAGGAAGGTGAAGGAAGGTGGCTACCATGTGGATGAGTCCCTAAACAGGTGCAAGCTGACAGAATGCCGAGAAATCCTGTCCTCGATCTTGAAGTCCACTGAGCTTTTGGATGATAATTCAGCCCCTTTGGTACACCACTTGGGGCTATCTCCAACATCCAGCCCAAGCCACAAGCTACTGTAATCCGGTGAAGAAAACTTACACTCAGTATCACTCAGTAATGTCACTTCAGCCAAACCAATAGAGAATACAGGCCCTTTGGACCGTTAGGAACCATTAGGATAGGTCCGTTTGCTATGGATTCTTGCTCCGAGACATACCCACCCAGCCTGGCTTTGTGTTTAAAACCCGCGCGGGTTTTTGCAGGTCCGATGAACGAGCCGCGGTGCGAGCTTCGCTGGATGTCGTGCGCCGAACGTTTGTTCGGCCGAAAGACCGCCACCGCCACGTCTTGAAAAACATCTCCAAAGAAGCACCCGTCGTCATCCGCCCAAAAGCGATGGGACGCAAACAGAAGAACCCAGACAGGACGCATCCACGGATCCACGAACCAATTGTTTTGTCTTTTTCCTTTTGCATGTTTGTGAACTTACCAAGGTCTGCATTGTTAGTGGTCCCACTGAATTGGTAACACGTAAAGAAGAGCACCAGGTAAGATGCGTTCCGAAGGAAGAAAGGCACTCAGCCTATCAGGATGCGAGGCAGGAATGAATTCTTCAAGTTTGTCAAGGGAAGTGGAAGCAAGATGAAGCAAGTAGAGAAACATGGACCCTGAAACGAGTGAATCAAAGTAGAATAGTAGTATTCAGTATTACCTACTGTAGGGTCTATGTGCATGGTCCATGGTTAGTCTGTAAGGAAGAAGCTCTCCAACTTGCAAGAGAACTTGTGAACTCCCACCATCTTCTTGAGATCTTGAAAGAGTGTGCTGGAGAAAGGTTGACCCTTCGAATTCACAAGGGACACCTGACTACAGAAGTCAGTGACGTACCAGGTACTGCCTGGCGATGCTGGCTCTTTGCCGGCTTGGCTGAAGAGTTTCGCAGCAGCCAGAATTCACTTGGCGCCCTCGTTCTTCGCTTCGTTTCGGATCGGAGTCAAGTCGATCCGATCAGAGGGACGAAAGAATGGTCAGGAATCTGCAACCTTCCGAAGGACCTTTTCCAGCATTTTGGATCCACTTTTCTCGGGGGTCTTGCTAATTATAGCCCTGCCATGGGTTTAACACAGTCACATCAATGAGGATGTGCTGCAGCCCAATGGATTGTTGCATGATGTTCTTTTCTGAATTTTGGCTGAGTTTCATGAATTCCATGTGGCTTATGGCATGTAGATTTCTAGGGGTGGTGGATTCCCAATCCAAGTTCTGGCAAGGACTCAGGGGTGTCAAACCTTATATGGTTTGTGTGTTTGAATAAGACCCCCGCAACCAATGGGTTTTGGTATGTTTTGGTCTATTTAATTTCTCTTCTTCCACGAAATCTTTGGGAGGTCTCCCTATCTTAATTCACACCCATTATCTTTGAGTTGGTCAACAAAGCCCCGTTTTGTTGCAAAAAGGCAGGATGAACAAATTGCCAGATTCAAAGACTCGACCCAGGCAAGGGATGTGGCCCACTGTGTCGCAGCAGCTGGGGGCCTCGGGGGAGGAGTAGCGTCCGCATCTTGATGCAAAGAGATGATCCGCCCAGCAGTAGTTGACATGGGCCGAAAATAGCCAAGATATCATATCTGAAGAACAACGGATATTGGAGTGGTTCATTGTTCCTTTTGAAAAGAATTGATGATCTTCCGTTTTCACACTGGCAACAACACCCCGAAATCACACCTCGCGGAGTTCCACACTTATTAGCAACCGTCAACAGAGCTCAGTTGGGAGGCTCGTTCCATCTGATGACGTTTCGTTCTGAAAACCCCGTGGGCTTCTAGAGCTCAGAACGGAGCTTTTTCCGCCTTTTCCCTTGAGGGCAGATGAACCTTACTGATGTATGTGGCCCCACAAGATGGAATGATTTCCAATGTCAGAGTGAGGGAGAATTCAAAACATCTAAGTGGGGCTGACTATGGTAACATGAGGGCTATCCCAAAGTTCCCAAAGCCATCTCCATCCATCTCCATTAATCCAACATCCAACGACATCCATTCCAAATCACCATCAGAAAACGACATGAACGAAACTGATACTCAGGTACACCCAAGGCCCTAAGGCAAATCATCAGGAACGCTGGCGGCGTTCCCCAAAACGGCTTTTCTTTTTGTGGCGAACGTCTTGGTCCTCATTCCTCATTCGCCTTGGAAACTCGCCTCTTAGGATTCCTCCGAGCTCATGTTCTGGTGGCCAGGCAAAGCTCCTGTGCTGCAGGGAAGCCTAGCCCACCCCGAGACTCTTGTCGCGAAGGGATGCTTAGCGGGGTCAAAGAGGGGCTCCAACGGGACCGACGGTCCGCGGGTTGACTCCAACAGATGGGACCCAGCCTCTCACTGACTGGCAAAAAAGACAAACTTCTTTTAAGCGACTGGATGACTTGACTTGTGGAAACGGCACTTCTTCCTCGACGAGGAAGATTCCAGGGCGACGAGACGGGTCGACGAGGGTCGGAATCGACCTCACCGGGCGACTGGGGGTCTCAGACATGCCTAGGGCCTAGGTGAGACCAGCTACACCCTTTGTTTGGTTGCTATATCGAGCGAAAGGCATGGCTGGGCCATGTGGTTTTATACAGCCCACCCCTTGTGGCTCCCTACTTTTGGGTGAACATGCTGCTTGGTTGATTCTCAGAGCCCGACTCCAGCTGACCCTTCCTCCAACCATAAGAGGTGGGTCTTCTCAACTTCTTTCAGAGTCATCTCCACCATCCCTTCCGTGGAAGAGTCGGTCCACTTTCTACGGAACGAGTGACTTCGTTCAAGACCAACATGACAGTCATTTGAACAAACATTATCATAGACATCCATAGACCATGCATGTTCCATCGCAGGTCAACCTCCTCGGAAAAAAAAACACATTACTTTACTTCGAGTGATCACCACCATGACATTTCAATCATTTGTCTTGATGCCGTAGTGAGGAGCATGTTGCCATGGTCGTGAGTATTGTGGTTCTCGATTTTGCTTGTGGGTCCTCGGGTTGTGTGCTGTGGTTGTGTGTTGTGGTTGTGGTTGTGTGCTGTGTTGTGGTTGTGGTTGTGTTTGTGATTGTGTGTTTGTGATTGTGTGTTTCTGGTTGTGTGTTTCTAGTTGTGTTTGTGGTTGTGTTTGTGGTTGTGTGTTTGTGGCTGTGTGTTTCTAGTTGTGTTTGTGGTTGTGTGTTTGTGGTTGTGTGTTTGTGGTTGTGTGTTTGTTGTTGTGTGTTTGTTGTTGTGTTTGTGGTTGTGTGCTGTGGTTGAGGTCCGGCAGGGAACACTGGGCGTGGATGGTCGTGTCGTGGTTGAGGTCTGGCGAAGGAGAAGGAGGAGAAGGAGGAGGAGAAGGAGAAGGAGGAGGAGATGGGGCTGACATAAAATCTAACAACCCTCACCTGACAGGTGGAGAACTCCAAAAAGCGACCTCCGGTGGAACGCAGAGAGCAGCTCTGTGCACCGCTCCCAGGCCTGACACGCGGGTCTTGGAGATGGGCGAGCGCCAGGCGAAGAGACGAAGGGAAAAAGCGTGAATAGGGCAAGGCAAGTGGTAAGCAATGTGCTTTTGTTTCCAATCAACTCAATGGGACTTAGCTGGGGGGCTTTGACAAAATCAAGTTGTTGTTTGGCAAACATTCACTCTGCATGAGGAGGTGTCGATTTGATGTAAGCTTCGATGAGATGCTGTGGAGTTTCATCCGCGCTCACTTCGCTGAAGACCGCTGAGACGGTCAACACTGCAGCAGGTCTTAGTGGTGCCCACCATGAAGTGCGACAGCTCAGTGGACGAGAGGACCAGGAACTGATGTGCCCAGTGGGAACTGATTTCCAGAGTTGGTTTAAAGGGAACATCTGCAGGACACATCATTTTGGGGCGGGGGGAAAAGCATGGTAGTTTCCTCATGTTTCCTCATGGTTTCCTCTATATATCGATGTTTTCTTCAAGTCTTTAAGCCAATCCATTACTGCTTGGATTCGGCCGTTTGGAAAAACGGGCCTAACATCGTTTCACCCGAAACGACCCAAAACCGGGGTCATCCACCGGTCGGCTCGGGTCGGTCACTCATGTCCTGAGGTTTCTTCAAGGCTCCATGGCCGAGCCCGGGGACTGAGGTGGTTTCTGATTGAAGATAAAAGAACCGACTTGGAATTGGATAGAGCAGGGGGTAGGCTTAACAAACCATCTATAGTTATGGAGGAACACCGCCAATAGGATCCAATAAGAATATTACTGAAACCAAATTGAAGGAACAATAGGTTGTATTCACATGTTCTATTGTCATCTATTGTCTATGCGCTTGAGGATGGTTCTAAGTGCGCCTCCTTGCCTAGTTCCTTTCTATTTGTTTTACTTGTTACGTTCTCACACTTGTATAGAAAAGAGGTGACTGCTGACAAACTGACAAACTGATGATGCCCGTGATCGCGACACGTAGCAAGACGCATTTTGCGACCGTGACTTGTGCACTCAGGTTCTTTAGTCTGCGACTCAGTTTCTTCTGAACATCCACCCTGGGGTTCTAGTCTTCTCGCCTTGGCCTTGGCAACTTACAGACAAGCTCTAACAGGCAGACACTCTACCGTTTGGGTGTCCTGGCTGCACTACCCAGCCCACTCTCCAAGATCTCCAGCCAGGACACCCAGGTCGTGCATGGTCCAGGTGCCTACCATTTCTTTAAGACAACAAAGTGCGAGAGAGAGAGAGAGAGAGAGAGTTTGTTTTTTTTTAATCTTTGTTGTTCCGAGTCGACCCCGTTCGCTTCCCTCTGAGGTGGTCCCTGGAGCTCCGAGCGGCGCCTTCACGCGCCGCGCGTGATGAGAGACATGCTCTCGCAGGAGCGGCGACCGGTGGCGACGGGTGGGGGAAACCGGCCTGGGGGGAACCGGGGCTTTTGGACGAAGGAGAAGGAGAAGGATGGGATTGAGATGAAGAGGAGGACTTTGGATCTTTTGACCAGGTTCTTCAATTCGAGCCGGGCCTCCCAGATGACCCTGAGAGACTCATAGTTTATGATGCAAAACTTAGTCACAGAAATCATAGCAATAAAATGCAATCAACAACAATTCAGACAAAGGCATATCGCTAATCTGGGCTCCTCATGTTGGTGGAAATCCATGTTCGATTCCACCGATTCGACATTTTCTACCCTTCACCGTCGCCTGGCGCCAGGAAGGTCGCAGCGAACGGACCCATGGACGATACTTGCTTCGTGGCCTGGCAAGTGATGGAGCTTCGTTGGGCCTTCGGTTTGAATGAGCTGGCCATGGGTCAAAACCGGGACAAGGTGGTTGACCACAGAAAGTGAACAGAATAGACTAGCTGGAGGTCAACCTACCAAGGGTTGGGGGCTCCGGGTTTTACGCCGCGATATCAGCCAGAGTCGCGAAGAAACTAGCTGACCGTCTCACCCGCTCTGGAGCAAGAAGACAATGGGACCAAAGAAAATGGACAATCAGAAGAGATTGTCAAGGACAAGGTTCCATCCATTTAGGATGTCCTTGCAGCCCCCATGAAAAAGAGAAGCAAGCTTCAACAGCACTTGAGGTTCCAAAAAGAGATCAAAGCCGGGAATAACACCAGCTGGGAAATTCCGGCCTTTGGACTTTCGGCCTTTCTCTGTGATCACGGTGATCGCTTGGATGACATTCCAATGCCTGAAGGAATTGAGCATAGCCCTCAACTGTGAAGCAAGGTGGTCGAGCTGTCCCACAGCGTCCTCGCCACAACACTTAAAGCCACGGAAGTGGAAAAGGAGGGCAATTTCAACAATGGAGGTGGAGCCTTCTGGTGAGCTCTTCCATCTACATGCCTTGAAGAACTCAAGGAAGGTGTTCCAGGCTGCATGTGAACATTTCCATTTCGGTGGAGGTGGGCACTCTCTGGGGATTTTGGGGCTTCCGGGTTTTGACTCGCAGCCTGGGTGTGCGACACAGAGTCCCCACAAGCAGAGTGACACAGACACAAGGAAAGCACGCGGCCATCTCCAGCCTTTACGTCAGGCTTAGAACGCTCGTCAATTTCAATTTTAAAGGCTTCATCAAGTAAGTGTGAAACTCTCAGGACTTTCAGGTGGTCTCAGTGAGGGTTAGACCCTGGAAATGCTTCCACCCAGGTGGTTTCAGTGATGCGCACGGATCCGGGACCTCTAGCCCAGGAGGGCACGAATCCGCACGTTTTGGTCGGTTAGACCCATCAGGTTAGACGAACTCCTAAACGCTGGTGTGGGCGTTACCTCAACAGTACTCTTCAACAGATCACATGGTTTATTTGGAGTGGATGGGCGGGTGGAAATTCTTTGCTGCGAGTGAAGGCTTTGGTTTGAGCATCCGTTTCCTACGTGTGAAGTGTTTTTTTTTCCACTTCCGAACATGAGTCGGAGTGCTTTCGACTGACAAAAAACACGCGCCGGCGACATGACATGTGAGGTCTCAGCAATGAGGGACGCAGTCGACATGTCCGCTTTCTAGTGGCTTGGCACGTGGGTGGACGAAACAGCACCTCCACTGCAGGATGACATGACCAAATGCAGACTCTTGATTAACAACCCCCCATGTGAAGTGGTTTTCTAATCCAAATGGGGAGCTGTACTAATCAAGAGTCTACATCAAGAGCTTTTATCAGGGTAATATCATACTCGAGTCTGGAGGGGTTGATTCATCAACCGCCTACCTGATGTCCATGTTATTCTTTTTCTTTGGTACGACATGTACGAGACGGTCTCGTTTCGAACCCTGTGGGGTTGCTGAAATGGAGCGTCCCTTCTTCTGGGGCCTTCTGTTTTTTTTTTTGTGTTTTTTTGGGAGGTGCACAGGTGGAAAGCTCCAGTTCTGGGATGTTCTGGGAGGTTTAGAACCTGGCTGAGAAAGTGGAAGGTTTGGGGTTGTTTCTGTCAGGTTCTCAGGTTTTTCGGGCTTTGGAAGCTGCGGTGGTTCTGCTGGGGTGTCGGGTTTATATACTGAACCTTTCAAGCTCCTGTGCATTCCGAAGAAGGGTTCAAATCTTTCGATTTAGATGGCTTTGCAATGGCTCAGTGGAAACGCCCATCACTCATTCGTTTCCTAGTTGATTGAGACCATGGCTCATCTGGAGAAACTCATGTTCGCTTGCCAAGGATCAGCTGCCCTTCTTTATCAGGCCGATGAAGTGGATGTTGAGTTAGTGGGGTTCTCACCGTGATTGTGGGAAGCCTCACCCCAGAGAGCAGCTTCACCGAATTGATTTTTCGTCCCGAACTGGACACTGTACAGGCTCCTAGTCCCAGCCCTGCGCAAGTGGTTCTTGGGCTTGGTTGTGGACACTTGCTTTGGCAAGGAGTCTAAAGTGTCGAAAGGACAGAAGTTGATGCAATACCCTGTGTACCTACTATATATACCCACATTCCCACTTGTTTGTGTTCACTAACATGAAGTCTATTTATATTCTATAACTATTATATATATAGATCACCATTGGTTACTGACAAATATAATCCTATAGACCTTTCTTTGTCCACATTTCCCACAAGTTGTATATTTTCCCACAGCCTCTATAGCTATTGTACCATGTTACCCAGTTCCAGGAAGATCATACTGACACTCGCTTACCAAGCGTCACTTGGTCCAGCCTTCTCACAGGCCACTCTGGCACAGCCTTCGGGCTGTGTGGGCGGATGGAGATCGTGAAGTGCACTGACCCAGACGAGCGGTGGTCTTCGGGCCGAGGCGCCAGGAGGATGAGATAACATGAGATCACGGGTTACCTCATGTTACCCCCGTTGAGGGTTCGGGGTCGATCTCGGCACTTTTCAGAGGGGTTGGCGGTTGTGCTTCTGATCCCGTGGGGAAAATAGAATCTCATCTACCACCCCCAGTGCTTTTCAGGATCCAATGGGGTTTTCTGCAAGGGTATCAGTGAACATATGTGAAAATCAACCGCTCCATGTGAGATTTCCTCCGGAGACTCCCCAACGATTTGAGAATTTTAACACCCAGCGCGGTGAAGTTTTTTCACAGCAATAATAGTGTACGTCAGGAACCCTAAGGGATCAACCGCTGAAGGGCACGGCAGAACGGCAAAATCGATCAAGACCCTGGTTGAACCCTGGTTGAACCCCAAGTCCAACGAATCGTTTGTTCGATCGTTGGTTCGGTATAAACCATTAGAGCGAGCTTTGGTTCCTCCGCGCGCCGCGCTGGTAACATCCAAATATCCAAGCTCAGCCTTTGCTTACTTCAAATGTCCATGGAGGTTTGACATCCATACCGCACACCCACACCCAAATGGTTGACCAAATTGATCCACTTTTTTTTGCTTCTGTTTGATTCATTTTGCTTCCCCACAAGCACATCTTTTCCCGGATGGGACCAGCACCTCGGGTCGAGGATGGCCGTGCTGTGTTCGCTCCGCGGCTTCTTCGCTCCGCGGCGCGCCGAGGTCGAGCTGCATGGCGCCGAGGCGCTGAAGCGCCTGCAGCTGCAGCCAGACGCTGAGCGGGCGCCGATGTTCACACGTGGAGCTGTCGTTTGGAATGCTAACTGCATTTTCTTGGGGTACAGGTAGTAGGAACTCGGAATTCTGGGTTTGGATGGATTTGTGGGTTGTTGATCTCAGTGACAGGAAAGGATGATCGCCAAAGCAGTTTTGGAGAGCTTTTTCAGAACAATTCCTACTGTAGTCACGCAGAAACACACACCAGCTTCATGCAGGATTCCTCTACCAGGACCATCCAATGGGTGTCCAACGGACCACCCTACACATCACTACTTAAATAGGGATCTTCATGGGACACCCATTGGATGGTCCAGGTACGTACTAATTTAGGTTGCGGTTTTCCTCACCCAAAAGGTTTTAACCGACGGTGAAAACCGACCGCAGCCAGTACCGCTTATCCCGACCAGCTGGTGTCGTAGGGATCAACAACTGTTCCACAGGGTCAAATGGACCTCATTTCACTGGGTCCAAATTGTTGATAGGGAGATGATAGGGGTCCATGGGTCATCTCATGTCATCTCCCTACCACCCAAAAACTCAATTGAGCTTCCGACGACGGTGATGGTGGTGGCCAACCAGCATCAACCTGGCCACCTAAGGGGGGGTAACTCAGTTCACCTCCCCTAACCAGACCCTGGCTGCGTGAAAAGCAGAATGTCTTTGCCTAGTGCGTCTTCCCACAAAGCCTCCACTGGGGCAACGGCACCGGTCGATCTGCCTTCAGAGACTCTTTCAGGCGACCTCATGGCCTCAGGGCCACCATGTTTGAAACCTCATTGCGCCTCAGAGTGTAAAACACAAAAAACCGCCACCTCATTGCCCTCATCTCAGGCCACCCCTCCTCGGTGGCCTGATCTGAGCGCGTCCAAAACTGGGCCCCCCAAAAGGACCAAAGCAGCTTTTGGGCACTGTAGAAGCTGTAGTGGAGCTTAGTTCTACAGCTTGGGAACAATGATTCAGCTTGGGAACGTTCTTTTACCAAGCAGCTTTTGGGAACGATGATTTTAGTGTCCACAATGCTGGGGGTGGCTAGCAACAGCTGCGTCTGAGTGTGGGTCACAACATGTCAAAACTAATTCAGTAAATTGTTCACTCTGCTGGTGTGTCTGTGGAGCTGAATTTGATGACAAAGAGGGTTTGATCGCCATTTTCCGGAAGCCTTTGATTCTTCGGACACTATATTGATGCCTGTGTGATGTTGTAGAAACTTGCAGCCCCTCTTCGGGCATCTCAAGATCAGAAGAGAGCTAGTAGATGAATGAGTCCTTGTTTTTCAAAATTGCAAACTTGGGACACCTCCTAAAGAGTATCTTTGACTGAACCCTGTGTGTCCCTCAAAATATTTCCCAATCTATCCCAATCTTAGAGCAGAAACAGTGCAGAGAGGTTGTGCTTGGATATTCACTCCACATACCTGACCAGTGTGTGGGACGGTTCACACCGAGATGGCTCACATCACGCGCGGACAGACTGAGGTTCACGTCCTCCGATGGCTTGCGCTCCCCCACGGACTTCTCCCTTTCAGTGGAGAGAATTGGGGGCGCACGAGAGTTGGGGTTGTGGAAGCGGGCGTGCATGTTGGTGCTTCTTACTAATGGTTCGGATTCTGTTTTGGCTTACTAATGTGGGATTTGTGGTGTTCTTGGTATTAACCAAATGGAGCTGTTGGATCTCTTTCTTTTGCTTTGGCTACGAAGTGGGGATCAAGGAGTCCAACTCTCCTCTCCAATGGAAGAACCATCCCCGTCGGGCCCTCTATCGCCCTGTAAGAACACCGAAGCAGCTTAAGGCTGATTCTCCAAGCTTTTCGGAAAGCTGGAGAATGACACATCACCTCCCTACCGGGCAGTGGATAACCTTTGACCTCTTTTTGGGAATTGGTATCTCCACTAAACAAGAATGGGTGGACAAATGTCAACCGTGCTTTTCCAAAAAAACTAAGATGCCCTAAGGGTGCCTCAGATCCCCTCCAAGAACCTGTCTAGGTCTAGGAGTCTAGGTCGAGGGTTGCGAAGGGTCGTGCCGGTCCAGGTCTCACTTGGACTTGTAGAGTCGGAAGGCGTGTAGGATAGTGGCTGATAGCCATATCAATGGCCCCACCTGAAGATCCGTGAGCATCTGAAGATTCGTCACGCAAATACCAAGACCTGCGTTTCTCTGTGAAGAAAGACTCTGACTGAACACTGACCAAAAGACCCATCACCCGGTCACAACAGCATGAACGTAGAATCATTGGCAGAGTCTCGGTGAACTCATGCAGGGGAGGTGCTACCATCGTTGCTCTTTTTCTTCTTGCTGTTTTTATGCTTGATTATGTTTGATCACCCCAAAGAAGGCCAACTTGTTTTATTCATTGGTATTCAGAAAAGGTGGCGTACCAGAGTACCAATGATATCATTATATATCATGCATTCCCGTTGTCACCTGCCCTGTCCTGTGGCCCCATTCCCAGTCGAAGTTTTGCTGAGACCGTCGATCGATCCGCGATCAATCAAAGGCACCTGGCAACTGTCATCGATCCCGCCTCAAAATAAGATGAGCACTCAATATCAACCAAATCCCAGATCTTCCATATGCGATGTATGATCCCAGATCCCAGATGGATAGGAGGAGATGCTTCCATATGTTTGCACTGCTGCAGGTCTTGTCACACCTTTACCCGCTGGAGCCGTCGCAGCGACGTCGGCCTGAGCGGCCCGGTGAGTCTCCGATCGGCTCGGAGGAGCTCAAGAGCGGCGGCTCGGTGAGTCTCTTCCTGGACGTTCTGCTCGGGGGCCCTGCCGCGACCTGCGAGGAGGTGGTGCCTCTCGCCAGGCCGAGGTGCGAACAAGAGAACGTCGCGGTTTGTTTTTGGTGAAACAAAGGATGGGAGGGTGCGAGAGCTGTTGGCCCCTGTGGGTATAAACAGATGCTGTTGATCTCATTTAGAGTCCACATGTGACATCTCGCCATGTGAAGGTTTTCATTGAAGTCCAAGGAGGACAACACCCGAAAGAAAGAAGCTCCAAATTCACTCGCCCACAATGGGTGAATTTGGGTGAGTCGTGCTCATGTTGTAATGGACTTGTCTTGCAAAGGTTTTCATTCATTCTGAATGGACAAGCTTGTGGTCCTGGGTTCAAGGATGCTGAACTCAGAAAGTACCGTGGCCACATACGTGTTCGCGTCTCGTCAGACGTCAGCGTCTCCATTTCGAGCGACCTTTGTAGCTCGGTTTGGAAGCCACCGGATTTCTTCGCCACAAGGGGCCCCATGTTGCCCCGGACCGAGTCACTGTTTGGTCCGAGGAAGAACTTCATCAACTTCAGGGAATTCTCGTACGCCTGCGAAAAGGCCAGGTGGTTTGCGGCCCCTTGCCATTGCTTGGCATAGGCAAATGCAGCCATTGTTCAAACTTGCAAAACCGGTTATATTTTCTGCAGTTGATAAAGCATCTCAGGTGCAGTTCTATTGCCAGTCACGGTTTGTGCAATCTCTCTTGCCTCAAGGGGACGATAGATATACCGATATACCATCATTCCGCTGTGAAACGCCTGGTTTTCAGAAGAGATTATAAAGTAGATGGCGCTCAGCCGTGACAGGCATAAAACTGCCTGCTTTCTTTCCGCAACGAGCTGATGAGCAATTATCATGACACCATCCTCTCATTGGGGTTTGAGAAAGCCCTCAGTATGCACCAATGGATGAAGGCAGAGATAGTTGCGGCTTTGACCACTTATACACGTAGCCGTCAACGAAGATATTATTGGACGTCCTCAAATAGATGGGGTGAATTTTCAAGATGGTTTTTCTTTTTTGTTTTGAACTACGTGCCTTGGGTATACGGTATATCCCATTACCAGGAATTAGCAATGGATGATGCTCGTCCAAGGCCTTTCTCCAAATTAGTGATCCGCCGACTTGCCGACTGTTTCTGGTAATTGGACACCCCACCCTCGTGCCCATGTGATCAATCCATCGTTAAACATGATAACCCCTCCGATCGCGTCGGGCGCCTGGCGCCGAACGGAAAAGGGCTTTGATGTGGGTGGTGCCGTTTGGCTGGATGATGAAGCTGAAGATGCAGCCGCAGGTGGGCGGCGACAGCGTCCGGTCAAGCCCATGGAGTCGGTGGTTGTGCAGAGTTTTTGGATTTTTTGGGTTTGATCGTGTAAGCCCTGTTAATGTAAGATCTTGATTAATAACCTCCCATGTGAAGAGTTTTTTCAATCCAAACTTGGGCTTTCTCAATCAAGATCCTATATAAGGCGATGTAGGCGGTGTTGTGAGATTCAGCATCCAATGTTCTTGACACTGAGTTTCTGTGGTTTTGGACACACTGGCACGCTGGCAGCATGTTCTGTTCAGTTGTCTAGTCAAACCTGACATGTGAGGAACCATTAGCACAGCGGGATTTGCAGCTCCCCTCGGCCCGTTCTTGCCTGAGCAGATTGGCTGAGTGCTCAAGTGTCTTGTTAACAAGATTCCTTTAACGATACGGCCTAGCCTTCAACTACATAGTGGAGGGGCACCGAATTGAGAAATGCAGTTATTGTAGTAATTACTAAACATAGAGTGGCATTGAAGAAACATTGACATTGACAAATAGCACTCAAGTGCCCTTGCATTTGACTTGCCACAGTTAGAACGTATGTTGTTTGGGTGCCCACTGGAATGCTTGAGCCCGCACCTCCATGGTTTAGCTTGTGGGGACTCACCTGCTGCTGCTTTGGAGCGAACTCTGAGGAGCTTGAGGCAACACGAGGCTCAGCCATCCTCGAGGCCGGCAGCCTGCAGGGGAGCCACAAAGTTCGCAACACTGTTCTGCCGAAGTTCGCAACAGGACGTTGGGCATCTTTGGGCATTGGTTCAAGAAATCTCCTTTGCGTGTACAGACATCCATGGGTCTATCCAGATTGAAATCTGACATCATTACCTATGGCCAATTCGGCCTCCAGGGGCTGGACCCTTCGGCCTCCAGGGCTGGACCCGTCGTCGCTCCACTTCACTCGGCCGGCCGTTTGGAACCCTTCGGCTTCCAGGCTCCACTTCACCGAAGGGATGCTCGTGATGGTGCCCATGTGCGGTGCCCAAAAGCCGAAAAAAGCCATAGCTTGGAGGTGACCTTTGGGGTCAAAGACGCACCTGGGGCCCTGGACTTGGCCCTGGACTTGAGGGGTGTCTGGACCCGGGCCTGGACTTGCGCCCCTTTTTGAGGGGTTTCTGGACCCGGGCCTGGACTTGCGCCCCTTTCTTGCTCTTGACCCGTCTCGTTTTCAGTTCGGAGGACGGAGGTCTCCCTTGATCGGGTCGATTGGTATCGGGTCCACGCTCGCTGCGATGGCTGTCGGCGAAAACACCTTGTCAGTGATGGGCGGGGCGAGGACAGCACCAAAGCCATAGGGGGGGCGGGGCTCCCTTTGTACACACCTGGCTGTACTGTGGTTGCTTCACCTAATGCGCAGGGTTCTTTGCACAAACAGAACAGTTATATAATTAGAGTTATGATGATCCTCAATCAAGTAGATAGAACCTGTGAAACTCCAGGAAGAGTGCACATATCGCTAATATCTGTTCAATTTAAACAATCAATTATAACTTATCAGTACACATTTAATCCATTTTATACCACACCTTGCCTGTCAAGTCTCCATGAATCATACTGCTGGTGCCGTGCACTTAGACATGTTCCTTCTCGATCTACTCGGAAAATGGTCACAGCATCCAACGCGTATCGGATCGACAGCAGGGCCGTGAGACCTGGCAGGCCTGACTTTAGTATGCCGTTTAATGTCAGGGCCTCGGATGGTCGAGTGTTTGCAGGAAGAACTGGTGCAGCTGCTGCAGCACCCTGGGAAGACAGCAGTGCGAACAGAGCATTGGCCACTCAGATGTGCAATTCTTTCATCAAGCGCTGGTCTGTCAAATCCTCAAAGCCACCCACCCCAACCACGGAAGAGTCGACCGGAGGCACGACCGGAGCCGTCGCGGGATCCGGCGTCGGTGTCAGCTCCTCCTTTTCCGCGAAACCGAGCACCGAGGTGGTGGCGCTCTCTTCGACAGCCACGGACTGAGAGGACTGGATGAATGGACTAGCGATGCCCTTTGCTCCTAGTAGCTTCTTCTCAGGTTTGAAGGTTCTTCTGTTGTTGGTGTCAGGGCTTTTCCCAGGACAGCGGCACAGCCGAAGCCGCGTTTGTTTTGAGCACCGGGGCGGGCTCGCCAGTTGGCGTGACACAGCAGATCGCCATCGACGGTTCTTTTGGGTCCAAAGTTTCGCCCAAAACCTCACCCGGTGGAGAGCGTTCACGTGACGAAAAGAGATGTGGAAGGCACACCGTTGATCATCTGACAACTCCGTCATGGGCGTTGCAATTACAGGTCCTCTCATCAGTTCCCATGTCGAGTTCACTAGCGAGTCAAGGGGAAAACGGGGGTTCCAACCACCAGACAGCTGACACCACGGAGCTGCCAGGCTGCTCTTTGCCACTTTTTCTTGGACGGACTTGGACCGGGATTCTTTTCCCCATTTTTAGTCATTCTTCCCACACTGAAAGCATGGCCAGCCGGGTCTTCGCACATCTTCGGAAAGAAATTACACCAGCATAGACCCAGAAACACCGGCAGCGGTGCCAGCACCCGACCAGCGCCGCCGCCCGTCTTAAACGCGCGCTCAGCCAGCTCACAGCACCAGCGCCCAGGACCACAACACCAGCACCGACACCCTTTCGAAAGCGCGCGCAGCCAGCTCATTCTTATTTGCAGCAAGAACCCCATAGCTATCCCTATTTGGGGAATAACAACATATGATCTTGTCCGTATAAGTTTATGCGCGCAAAAGTGCGTGCAAACAGCAAAGCCCGTAAGTGTCACTGGCCCAAGGCCAAGCAGTATCCAGCGTCACTATTGACTTTGTAGCGATCTGCAGAACGATAAGGCCGTATGATCTTGCGCGTATAAGACTATGCGCGCAAAAGTACGCGCACAAGCGGCAAAGCCTGTAGGCTTCACTCGCCCAAGGCCAAGCAGTATCCAGCACGAATAGCTTCGCTATCTGGGAAAAAGATCCGAAAGTAGACCCCCTCACATATGCAAGCTACACCACCAGCACCGGCACCCAGCACCAGCACCAGCACCGGCACCCGGCACCAGCACCAGCAACCTGTCTCCACCACGTGCGCAGCCAGCTCACAGCACCAGCACCGGCACCGGCACCCAGCACCGGCACCGGCACCCGGCACCAGCACCAGCAACCTGTCTCCACCACGTGCACAGCCAGCTCACAGCACCAGCACCAGCACGGCACCCGGCACCCTGTCTCCACCACATGCACAGCCAGCTCACAGCACTAGCACCAGCACCGGCACCCACAGCCAGCTCGCAGCACCAGCAGCAGCACCGGCACCCAGCACCAGCAACCTGTCTCGAAAGCGTGCACGGGCAACTCACTGTTATTTGAAGTAAGAACACCATAGCTTCGCTATCTGGGGAAAAAAAGATCTTTGCGCCAAAGCATGTGATGCACCATGTGTGCCCAGATCTTTGCACCCTTCGCAGCATCTTCACGTGTGAGCCCGTGTCTGTGTATGTGTGGTGTCGAAAAGAGCCCAGTAGCAGCGACACCACCCAGGCAGCGACCTTCTTCTTTGGCTCCATCTTCCGCTTCACCGCGACGCATCACCCGCCGCATTGGAGCACCCAACGCACCTGGGCGGAGATTGAATTGGGGGATGTAGCTCCATCACACAGGACTGAACATGAAGGAACTTTACTTCTATTTGTGCAAATACTCCAACTATCCAGTGGCCTAGATGCTTTGGTTGAACAGTTGAACATCAACCGAAACGTGTTTTTCTCTTTATCGTAGCAACAGGCAAAAGGCACATCAAGTATCATGGAGGTATTGTTTGAAGTTTCGCAGAAGCAATTGGATTCATACCCAAACACGATTCCTTAGCATCGTCCATATTTGTTGTTCACCAGACTTCCAGGATGCCTGTCATGTGGGGACTTCGGCCAAAGATAACACAAATCATGTGCAAGCTGACATTCCCATTGATCCTGATGTTGCCGCTTTCCTCGAGCAATCGCTCATCGGTACAATCTTCATGTCATGAGTCAACATGATGAAATCCTCCTGCATAGGATGCCATTTGCGCATCAGCGCTGCATTCAATTGCAAGTCAGGTGGGACGAAGAAGAAGACCTTACACCCCATGCAGGCCTGGCTGCCAGCTTGCACAAAGACTCAGTGGTAGCTGAATGGTAGCTGTAGCTACTGAAGAATGGACCTGGCTGCAGGGGCTGTATTCTTTCTTTTCACAGTTGTCTCAGATCATGCTGTCGGACACAGATAGAGACGACATTTTTGCCATTTGCGTTGGAATCTGATGCAGATTTGCGTTGATCGTAAAAAACCAGATGGCTCACCACTCATCAGGGTGCCACGTGTTCTTTTTTTTTCTGCCAGGCTTTGGCGCTGCTGACCCTTCTGGGGTTTCTCGGACCTGTGGAAACCAAGATAAACCAAGGGTGACAGCGGGAGGGAAGCACTGCCTCGGCGCAACTCCTACAACTTCTTGGAAATCGGTGTGAGGAAGCGCAGGAACAGGGAACTTAACAGTACTGACCCCAGACCCCAATTTTGAGGGTCTACTTGGTGCTCCCAGGGTCCCTGCCCACAAGTTCCCGGTCTCAGTACGATCGATCCGTGTCGGTCCCAACCCCAAGCTCCTCCGAGTCCGGGGCCTGGGCGCCCTTTGGGACGACTCCCAGGAGCAATTTCCGAGCCAAGAATCAGCTTTTGGAAGGATCAGTCCGGACAGTAAGCATCCAGGAAGATCCAGGAACCACTGATTGCGCTGATTGGATGTCAGGTGTGTTTTTCTCGATCGAGGCATTTTTTCACCAAACCAAGTTTGGAACAGGTGCTTGGGCTCCGCGATTCTGCCAGGTGCTTGGGCCTCAATGCCTTGACCGCGGAGCACATGAATCGCATTTCCATGACCTTGTCACAGGCAGGAGCGAGTGACTCAGCAGCGCAGCGCACCCAGCATGCCCCATTTCATTTCTTCCTCAGTTTAAAAGACAGCCGCTTGGCCAAGACCGCAAAGAGTGCTGAGTGGGGTTGAGACCAAGACACGCCTTTATTTTTGGATCAATATGAAATAACTGCTTTTGATCACTGCAATGTCTCTATGAAATAAGAGCGACTCCTCTGACGACTCGTTTTTCACACGAAACGCTATCGGAAACGCCTTCCCGTCGGGTTATGCCAGCCGGGGTGAACATCCGCGAGTTCTTTCGCAAGTGACCTGCGAAGAAAGCTCATGTTGTTTCAAGATGTCCTTTGTTTGAGCGGAGACTGGCACATGTTGTCTGCTTTTGGGGTCCGTTTTTGTGTTTGTTTTTTGAAAGTATATGGCAAGAAGACTATCACAAAACCCTGAAACCGTGAAAATGCAGAGAATATGCTGCATAAAGTTTGGGTGAAAGGTTTAGTTGGTTTTGGTCGATGTTCACATTAAGAACTGGGGTTTGGCGTGCACCCTGTTTGTTTTCAGCTTCAAAAAGGCCGCTCGGTCTTCTCCAGGCTGGTGAATCGGGCCAGGAACTCTATAGCTACTTGGCCATTGCCAAGGAGAATGGTTTGGCTGAAGGGGCCCTTTCGAACAGAAAATCGTATGAAATACAGATCTGATCCTGGGACATTTGGAGAAGCCGCCTGCTGACAACTATATTTCACACTCACGCTTCTCCAGCTTGGTCTTGTCAGATCCACTTGCAAGAAAGTCATGATTTGACCGACTGCTGAGAACTGGAGCTGATCTGATCGATCGGACCGATCGGTGATCTGCAGGAGCGTGTCGACAGTATCCTCGCGAAACGATGAGACGACGGAGAATCTTCGTCCAGGCCCAGGGCCTGGGGAGGCATGAGCCTTGGATTCAGAAGGCTCTTCGATTCGGTCGCCGTGGGGGTGGGCCGTGGCGATGGTGATGGAGTTGCTTCGAACGGAACGGAGGGGGGGTGGTCTTCAAGGGTAGTCGCGCTGATTCTTTGAGGTGGGAATAATGACAGACAGGTGGAACTGGCCATTGGACTGTGACCCCCAGTACTGAAATCCTACAGCACCTCAAATCTTGAGATGTTTTGATCCATTCTTCTTGTTTTGTTTCTTCCATCAGTGATAAGTAGCAAAGAACAGAACACAAACAGGTCATCCCAGGAAATTCCTCTAATTCGTCAAGTGCGACCCTCCAGCCCTCCAGGAACCTCCCAGGGCTCGCTTTGAAGATGTCACCGATGGGCCAGGTATGGCCAACCTGGACGGAGGTCTTCAGGCAGCTCGTTCTCCACGGAGGAAGCTCGAATGGAAAAAAGGAGTCGGGCTTCATTTGCACTTGGCTTGGCAATCCCCCAGTGTAAGAAGGGAGATGCCCTTTTCGTTTGGACCCCCGGGGTCTCAGCTGGGGGGCTATAATATATACTATGAGATGTTTTACGAGTAAAATAATGTTTTGTATTTACAATGTATATACAAATTGCACTTCTTAGTTTGTGGAGTTGAACCCACTCGTTGGACCAGACCTGGACAGGGACAAGCACATATTCTATCGACGTCGATGTCGATGTTTTTTGATGTGAGGCAGTTGAAGGACAAAGTAGTATCGTTTTGGATAGTCTTTTGTGGAAGGTTCTAGCCATCCCTTGCTTTCAAGGTTTGACAATTATCTGGCGACTTGCACATCCTGAATCCTGAAATAGTTCTTCACAGGCTTCCTTGTAGTCGCTCAACATTAACATTACCCAACCGTCCAATCAACCTACAAGGAAGAGGGAAAGATCTAAGGACGTGGTCCACCAATGACTGGACATCGTCTTAAAGGAAAAGGACACTGTCCTCTTCAATTTCGCACTGATATCGCCCCAAACATACATTATGCCCAAACCAACTGTGGGCAGAAGCCCCCCTCCCTAAGCCAACAGGATCATCTCAAGATCTCCTTCCCTTCGGTTGGCTCAAGAGCGCACACCGCTCACCCTCCCCCTGCTGTGCGGGGCACCCGTGCACGCTGGCGCCCACGTGTGGTTGGGAGCTTAGTGGAGAAGTGATGGTTGGGGATGCCTCTCCGATGTGTAGCTGGCACGAGCACCTTCGGAACGAGCTGGCACACACCATGAACAGAGGTTATCATGATTATCATGATTATCAACGGCATCCAGCACCAAACAAAAAGAATACAGAGAAACAGCAGACAACATGTGGGCCCTCGTTTCAACTGGAGGGGATTTGTTCTTCCTCGGAAGCTGTATCAAACCCGAAAGGATACGTGCCAGAGCTGCAGTTGCAGCTGGGGGAGAAAGGGATCTGAAGGAAGAACTTCTGCACTTGGCAATCCCGGCAATCCATCCATTAAGTTCATGACAGGCGGGTTGCTTAAGCAATCCTGACTCTTGATTTAAGCCCTACACACAATTGTCAAACATCTCCATATGGAAGTTTGATTCATCAACAGTTAACCTTACTTTGTTCGCTTTTCCATCACTGGCAGCGAGCTCAGTTATCATCGCGCTGCGTCAGCGCGTTCTGCAGTGGGGTGGGTGGGCCGTGTCTTCTCTCGTTCTCGTTTCCAGAGCTGTTTGGATGGGACGATGTTCAGAACATCACGTAGGTAAAGGGTGCAATGGCCGCCAGTCGCACGGCAGAGGGGCACAGTCGCACTGTGGCACTGGATGTGTTTTTTCCCCCAAGCCGCTGCTGCGTCTTCGGTGGTTCACCGTCTCCAACGTCGGGTCCGGTCGACGGAGCGTGTCAACCGATGCCAACGGTGTCTCAGCAAGAGCCTGAAACATGTGGTGCGAACGGGCAGTTTCATGTCTTTGTTACTTCGCGCCGGCCTTTTTGAACAAATGCCACCAGTGGCAATCTGAACCAAACAACGAACTGGATTGAAGACTCTAGACAAAAAAACCTCCTCCTCCCCACAAAAAGACATGTCCCCCTCATGTTCCGCCTGTTCTTCTTTGAGAGGATGTTTCTTTTGGTTTCCAGGTCATCCAAGCGCCCGCTTCGGTCAGGTGCCCTCCCTGCATGGAGAGGGGGAGATTGGTCTGTGGCGAGGATGCCGAGGACGGTCATGTCATTGATAACAAAGTAGGAGGAAAAGTAGATTGATCTTGACAATGCAGCATAATTATCTATTGTAAATATATTGTTTGCAAGTTGGTCCAGGGCGACCCTCTTGGTTTGAGACATGGTAGAAGATGGTAGAAGTCCTCCACGGTGTTTTCGTCCCCTCAGGACGGCATCGTGTTCGTTGGACCCGACGAGAAAGCACCCGTGACTCCGGCGACAACGCTGCCTTTGACGCCGACGTCGCATACGGGTAGCAGCTGGCCGGCTGACAGTAGGGATGCCTGGCCGGAGTTTTCGGATGGCCAAGAGCTCTCGAGTCAGGCGTTTTTTCTGCAGATACCAGCACCACCCAAAGGATGGTTTATAGGCCCCGCTGGTACAAACCCTAGAATTTAAACAAAAACAATCAGTCTCCTACCGAGTGCCGTCATGACGTCAACGTATGGGGTACCCGGTAGATGACCCCACTTTCGCACATAACCTTTGTCTTCGGACGCTTTTCACAGCCAGGTGGTCAATGCTTCCCCCTCATCACTTGGGTGAGTCTTCTTCTTTTGCCAAGGAACCAAATAACACCAGCCCCGTCCGAGGACCAAATAAAACCGTGGACCGGCAGGGACCGTGGACTGGACGTTCTCTTTTGGCCTGGACGCCACCCGGGACACCGTGTCCGTCAGACCGGACGAGCGTTGTCGTCACGTTGTCGTGTTCTTTTATGTCGAACGTACTACGGTTCGTTGATTTGGCAATGTGGATTGTTCACCTCCTTAACCAGGTTACTTTTTGTGAACCGCCTCGAGGCAGGGACAAAAAGTGCGCACCACTGGCCGACATGCGAAGACATGCGCTCCCGGGTGGGTGCCTTCTCCCATCCATGGTCTGTTCGGATGTATCTGAGAGGGTGATGCGTGCCAGAGACTCACCTTAGCGACTGAACGTCGATAAGTCCTGCATAGTCCTGCTATGAGGAGAGTCATCCCAACCCTGTATAAACAATCATCCCTTTATTCGAGTACAGTACATGAGAGTGCTGCTTGGTCAACCCCCCTATCATCCACTGTCCGCTGTTGTCAGCCAATCGCGAGGTCTCGCCGAAATCAGTGACAGTGATGACGAGGTGATGATTCAGGCATGGACTACTTCGGGTAACCGAAGCTGGGATAAGATGGCCATGGGCCATAAGCTCTGTCATTACTATAGTTGTACCGTTGTACCATGATTTTGTTCATGTCTACTGTGTACTTGGTAGGGGGCTCCAGGAAACATGATTGGGAGGGCCCAGAACACACCCATAGACACTACTTTTTGCATGGAGAGTCTTCCCAACGACACGAAAGTTCCTTCAGCTTCCCTTGTTGAGGACGTTGCTAGTGACATGCAGTGACGTTGGTATAGAGGAACACTCAACAGACCTGGACTTCCCGCCCACACTCGTCTTTTTTTAAACATCCGGTAGATAACACATGATAACACATGGCAACACTCAACCCTCGTTGATGTTGGACCGGTTCTATAGGACGTGTCCCCAAAACCTTCCACTAAACCCCAGACCCGCACGTCAGGCGGTGTCCCACGGCCGCGCCGCGCGTCGCCCCGCGACGTCGCCGTGCCTTGGTTCGGACAGTGGCCGTGGGCAGCGGCTCTGAGTGATTGGTCTGGTGCATTGTCCCAAGTTCCAATGCAGATAGACACGCGTAAAGTTATCCGATCATAAACATACGTTACATAGACTATATAACAGTAACACGTATATTTATTTATTTCCTGTGTATGGATGTTCATGGTGCAGTTCCCTGTTACTGATTCAACTGTGTATAACTGTGTATGGCAGTTATACTCGCAGTTCTATATAGTGATACTATCCAAGCAACATTTATCCGAAGGACAAGGGGTTGTTGTTGCAGGGGGATCGGAACTCCCACGTGAGCACACCCGAACGGATGGGTTTTGAACACGTTTTGTTCGCTGAGATTCTCAGTGGTTTGTAGCTAGCTGGCCAAGACCCACAGTTAGCTGAGCAAAAAAAAAAAGTATTTATTGTTTCACCTGAGAAACCATCAATGACCATTTATGTTGAATCTCAGTGGTCATGTAATTGGTCATTTCTTCCATTGTCTTTTCCAACAACTTTGCCAATGGTATGACCATGTCGACCCATGTGGACAAGCCGGAAAGGGGAAGACTGTTTCCTGTTCTAAAGGATGACAGAGTGATCATGAAATATCATGAATTCAGGTTGAGCATCATGAATTGGGGTCGTCTGATGTTCTTTTTTTCTGTTCATTTCATTGGGTGAGATGAAAAAGGGATGTGAACCAGAGAGAGATCTATCATTTGGACCCATTTGACTGCTGTTGTTTTAAGAAGTCCTGGCCTTCGTTTGGATCAGGATCTGCCCTGGGAGTGCCCACTGGGCTTGGTCCAAGAAAGGATTCATTGGGTCCTGGCTCTTCCCAGAGCCTCCCCAGGACTATATATTTATATTCTTCGCAGAAATCCGTGGAGGTCCCTTTTGACTCACTGTTGAACAGCAAAAAGCGGCTCTTTTCATCCTGATCAGCTTATGATATGCGTCCATCAGCTTGATGTTGCCGAGCAATTTCTGCTAGGTGCATGCGCAGCTTGAGGAGTGACACTCGAGGGCATTTTCAGTCATTTGAATGACTCCTATACTCCAAGACCGGTTCGAAACGATTGACAAGCCAAGGTCCATTGCTGCATTCGAGGCTTGCCGAGCTTGTCGCCACAAGTAGGAAAAAAGCAAAGTGAGAGATTGGCTGGGAAGCATCCAACAGGTCCAACGAAACTAGAAACTAGATGCTACTAGGAGCAAAGAGCATCGCTACTAGGAGCAAGGACGCTACTAGTTGCTCTTGGCCTTACTACTAGGAACAATAAAGCCATTAGAAACAAAAATTAGAATTATTGAGTTTAACTAAATATAATTTAATTGGCTGGGAAGCATCCAACAGGTCCAACGAAAAGAGATTTTGTGTCCGATCCCCAGAAACTAGATGAACATACCGGCACCCACCAGGGGACCTGGGCAGGTGACGGAAGAAACCGGTAGAAGGTGTGATGGTGTGACCCAGCTTCTGGGTGACTTGTCTCTTGAACCAAACCACCAATCAGCACATACCATGGGACAATCATGGAAACTTGGCCAAAACACCATCAATGAAGGAACTGTGTCACGGTTCATTTTAAAGGGGGAGACCTCCCATTCGACCTCCTGAAGAGAAATGGACTCAACACCATTGGGTCAGGGGATCTCCCTTTTAAATACACACCCAAATGGCTTCTGGATCATCTTGAAAGTTGAAGAAACCGTGTCCTTTGAAGAGTCCTAGCTCGTCAGGCTCAGCTAAGGCAGCTGCCATCCTCCTGGCGCGCCTTAGCGGAGATGAAGCTCCGGCAGAAGTGGCCCAGGTGCGCCGCAAAGGGCAGGTGTTGGTACCTAAACATATTTTTATGCAGGTCAGTTTGACCTCATTTTAATGGAGTTGATCATACAAACACACAAACTGAATGAGGTCTTTTGAGGACCAGGTTTGGACCCGAGTCAGGCGGGACCCTGTAGGATCTAAAATCTATGGAGTGGAGTCAGCGAAAAAAAAATAGCTTTTGCTATCGATGTGTGAAGGGTTTGTGCAACTCTTGCAGGACGGCCACCGGTGAGGACCCGAGGGTATGCGGGTGAATTGATGTGAGTTGGCCCTTTTGAACCGAGGCCGTAAAAATGTGCTCTACCAGGACCCTCCAAGGGGTGCCCAATGGAAGCCTATAGGTAGTGTGGGGTAGTGGGGTAGTCCATTGGACACCCCTTGGAGGGTCCAGGTAGAACTTCATTGCTTTTTGACTTCGACTTGTTGCGAAACGGACGTTCGAGTTCCTGCTTTCAGGTGTGGCAATGGGCTGGCTGAGGCGTGACTCACCGCGTTCGGAGGGATCGCCGTTCCACGGCGTTTCTTCAAAGAAACATCCCAGGAAGCCAGGACGATGAAGTTGATAGGCAGCCATTGTTAAGACCAGTATGACTCACTGAAATAACATGTCAGGCTCATTGACTCCCCTCAGGTTGTTGCAGGTGTTTCTCACCTTTTTGGGACACAGCGTGACTAGTGTGATCCGCAGAGTTGTTGAATGTCATGATTCATGATGTTTGCTCCAGATTTTGGCAATGATTAACATGATTTTTGCATTCATCATGGAAGGAACACATTCCTTTCTTTCCCCATGAATTTGGCATTGATTTGCTCCAGACACGCTTTCTCAGTCATTTGTCTGACGAGAAATAACATGCTTGAACCGCACCTTCAACATTTCTCGTTTTCCAGAGGACACAAAAGAAACCATTTGTTGTCACCATGCACACCCTGTACGGCCCTGCCTCAGTCAACCAGATCTTCCAAACGCCGCTGCGCTTGGCCCCAGCTGAAATGTACGGTTTTTAGAGAGGATCTTTTGGACCATTTGCCGGCGAGGCGGGGTAGAACACGGGACCGCCGGTCGAGGTGTGATTCGTTGAGACCTGAGGTCATGAGATGTTTCTCCGACGTGCTCAGATACTTGAGACCCAGAGAAACTCAGATTTGAGGTGTGAAACAGCCTGTCAAAGACCTTGTGGGATCCTTTGGAAGATCTTTGCTCATGTTCTGGCATAGAAACTGTATAATTACGTTGAAGACATTTTAAGTTATTGAAGGGAGTTTAAGACCATTTCAGATATATTAGCTGGATCATCTGTGAGCTCTTTTCCTTCGATGCTCCCGGGACGACACGTGCACAGGCATTTGCTCTTCACGACACTTTGCAGGGCGTGACTTGGCCATGTGAGCATCCTGATGGTCTAGCTGAACCGGCGCGGAGGGGAAAACCATAAAGATTGAACCTGGCATAGCATTGAGCCAAGTAAACCACCTCTTTTTGGAAAGACTGAGCAACCAACTCTTCGCCAGTTCGACCCACATCGTTTCGGGCAGGTTCCCCGCATTTGGAGACTGATGAATCCACGCCGATGGATCCCCAGACCTTCTCAGAAGGTATTTGGGTCCCTCCAAGCCATACATAAATAGTCTCCAATCATCGTACCTCAGAAGGTTTGTGGATCCATAAGCCACATGGCTCCTTTTCCGAGGTGAGAAACCGCCCACGAAAGCGCCAAGCGCCATGCGCGCGCGGCTCGCCCTGCTGCTTCTCTTCGCAGAGGCGGACTGTGCGGCGTCTGCGCGTGGGCGTCTTCGCCCGGCTCGTCCGTTGCCGGGAAGCGGAAACACCGGAGCCACGCGGATATCAACGACGTTAGACCGTTGCCCATTTTTTCCAAAGCGACGGGGAGTCTTGTTGGGGCTGGGATTTGGTGAGTTGAAGTCTCAGAGTTGGAGCTGATCTCGGAGATGCCAATGACTGACTGAAATTAAGCTGCCAGCTGCTGTACTAGTCAAAAATGGTTTGGACATGGTTGGACGAGTCAGGCTTAAGTAATGAGTTGGCTCTAAGGGATGGGTGATGACTCTATGATCGATTGGTCATTCGTCGTCATTTTTGTTGGGATTTCTTTTTAAAAGTATATAAGGCATTATAAGGCGATGTATGACACGCAATTCCTTGAGACTAGTTCTTCCAGAGATTCAAGACCAAGTCCACGAATGGTCTTACATGGACGACGAGTTGTTCAACCAAAACCATTGGACGAATGATGCGCTTTTGGAGCGCTGCAAACCATGAGACAGGCCACATCATGAGCGCCAGTGTCCTGGGGCGCTCCCATTTCGTTCGCACGATTCAGGTGGTCATCACTCGCTCGCAGACCACGGCTGATGTTGACTTCATGAAAAGCAGCCCCTTGGGCTGCTTCTCACGAGGCCGCCTTCACAATACGCGGGGTGAGGAGGTCTGGAGGTGTCCTGAACGACCAGTTTTTGCTATTTTTTTAAAAACTAGCGTTATTCACCGACTAAACACAATTGGATATCACAATAAATTTTGCTAGTGACACTGACTGACTGGCTGGATGGCTGGCTGATTCGCTCCCTCCCTCCCTCCCTCCCTCCCTCCCTACCTCCCTCTCTCTCCCTCTCTCTCTCTCTTGCTTTTGGTTGGAGAGATGCTAATTGCTTTCTGATCTGGAAACTACAGCAATCTTTTTCATTTCTGCATCCTTTAGAATCTCCGAGTCTTTCCACACTTTGCAAATCCACTTTGTATTGAATGAAGCAGGCTTGCAAACAACCAAAGTTCGCAATGAATCAGTGCGTGAGGGTGGGCGCCATGAAGTCATTGAGTCATGAAGTCATGTGAGGATCCCGTTCTGCCATCTCTTTTCACCATTCATTTGGGCCGAATCTGGCATTCCTACACATCCCAATCAATCCGTGAATCCGTGCCGTTTCCTCCGAACCGTGTGTTCCCGGACCGTGCTTCGCCTAAACGAAGAAAACCGTGCGGGGGGTGACCCCGTGCGGGGGTGGAGGCTATGAGTTTGACTTCTACATCCCCAACACCAACATCAATACCACCCAACTGAAGTGCCTTGGCAGACGACTGTGAGGATGGACTCGGGATCGATCCAGGACTGGACCGCGCCGTGTTTCGGCGTGCCGCGAGCGGTTGGGTGGCTCGGGTGTGGTGGGTGCGGTGGGGGAGTAACTGATCCAGCCTAGGGGGTGCTAGCGCGGGTGGAGTACTCCCAGATGTTCGGGAACACCACATGTGATCCAACTTCCCTGGCCACAGACCCTGTGATTCCAGGCCCAACGATGTGGGTCACAGGGAGCGAGCTAGTAGGTCAACTGAAGGCCTCAAGCGATTGGGGAAATCAGCTCATCCGGTGGATTTCAAGCGAATAAGGGGGCCCTTCGATGTTTTTTCCTTCAATGATCAAATCAAACCCAGGTCAGAAGAAACAGTGAGGAAACAGCCGGAGAAAACATGGTCTTTTTCGTTTGCGTCTTTTGATCAAATCAACCACCTATAGTATAAATTTATAATATATAATATGTAATATTGATATTGATATTAATATATATATATATATTGAGTCCATCGGGTTTAGCACATTGGTCCTCTTCCCGGTCATCCCGGTCGTGGTTGCTGCCCTGCTGCCGCTGGACATGCCGGTGGTTGTTCCGCCATCTCTCATCGCTCAGGCACTGCGGCGTTATGTAGACTCTTGATTAATAAGCCCACCCCAGTTACCCGGTTGAATTGAAAGGCCAATATATTGGAGGTTTATCAAGAAAAAGCGTCTACATTACCGAGCGGGATGGTCTCGAGGCTTTGTCAAGAGCACTGCCAATATGTCGCTTGGCAATGCTGGCGCTGGGGGACGGCCACTTCCGCGGCCGGCCACGGAACTCCTCTGAAATCTGCGAAGCGATGGCTGCGGAGTTCCTTTTGCACTGGATGGAGCTGTTGGTGAGAAACAAAAGTTAAAACGACTCTTGACCAAACTGGAGAAGGTACAACTCGATGGTCTTGTAGTAGTTCTTGTAGTCTATGGTAGTTGAGGCAGTTGCCCCTGAATGTATAGACGGTTTTGGGAAGAAGTGTTCATCCCTTTCATTGATTTCTTAGCCCCGGAACTGAGCTTGAGGTGCTCGCAGACTTGATGGGCAGCTTCACCAGAAAGGAAAGGCTTTCTAGACTGTTACAGTTGCAAGGCAAATGAATGTGGTTACGGTATGTGTCAACAGCTCCTACTCCTTTCCTCTGTAAGAGTGATGAAGAGTAGTTTAGCGCCGTGACACGAAGCAACACGATGCACTAAAGAGTGCCATGCCTTACCACTCCATTGATGAACGGACAGAGGCTTGTCCTACTTGCAGGAACACATCCTGCACTACCTCAGATGTGCAAACGAACACACGAGTGCAAAAAGGTCCTGGTTGGTTCCAGGTAATATATCCGCGACGGGGTCTGACCAGTCTTCCGTCGCCGCTCCCAGGTGCCCGGATGCGTCCGCTTCGTGTACAAAGCCTTTTGGGGCGAATGCCGCGGGACCGCAGCGGACGGGGTTGGACCAACTGCCCGGATTCGTTCGAGAATATCCGACGGGACGGGAGCATCCGGGGCGAAGTTGGGGCATTTTTCGGTCGCCCGAGGGAGTTCTCTAACTGGGTTTCAAAGGGCCAGTGACTTGGCAAGTGAAGCTCTGGGTTCACGGAGTTTTTGTTCGGATGGAGAGCCGAAGAAAGGACACGTGAACGGGAAGTGTTGCTGGAGGTTTTTGGATTGTTTGGCTTTCCTCGTGCACACGGGATGACAACGCTGCGCACATTCTTTCTACAAGGTTCAAAGGGGCGGGCACGGCTTCTTCCTGAATTCAGTAGAATTGTTCGATTACTGCATGCAATAACCGGACCCTTGTACTTCTACCCAACCTGAAACATACTGATTCAGATCAAATATACTATTTTTGATATTGTGGTTTCCCGCAAACCCAAAGGCATGAATCATGGAGTGGAACAGGAGCCAGAACTCAACCAACCAGGTGTTATTTTTGTACTATACAGCATATTAATATAGGTATATATAAAACTGCTATCATATTTGCACTAAAACAGAACATATGTATTACCCCCCATGCAACCTCAAAAAAGGGTCCAAGAATCCAAGATCGACATGTTGGGATCGACCCTTTACGGCTTCTACTTCGTGTGTGGAGCGATTCCGATGGAACGTGCGCACGAAGTATATAGGACGACCCGGTGGCCTGCGTGGCCTGCGTGGCCTGCGGCCGAACGAAAGGCTTAAAGGACGAGTCAAGACTCCGCTCTTTTTGGACCTTTTCTCCGCCCCTGTGGCCTGCGACCTTTGTTAGTGGACAGTATCATGTTTGAAGGAACTGTAGCACCATATCACTTGGAGCCTGGGATGGAAACATGGGGCACGAAAGTGTCATGGGACAAAAACGGGCACCCTGCAGAAACGAACCACCTGACACCTTTCTTGCCAGAGGTACTTCGGCCCTGTTTCGCTTCGTCTAAATAAAGCGCCGGGTGGAAATCTCCCACGCACTCACGGACGAGGACTCGTCCGACGGTTTCTGGTAGAACCGTCGCCTAAACTAAACAATATATACTGAACAATTCTTGGAACTGTATACGGTATACTTGTACGTTGTACCTGTACCTCATCTCTTTAAAAACTTGTTGCGACTTGACTTTGCCACAAACCGTGTTCTGGTGAAATGCGGTGCGGGGGGGCGCCCAGGTTGGTTCGCGGCCTGAGCCTCAGTCAATCTCAGCAGGCTTGGACAAGGTCTCCTGCATCACTTATATAGAATCTCTTTGCTTGATCGTACTCACTGGAACGGGCGGTTTGAAGAGGATCAGCTATTTCCTGCAGGTCTAGAGCTGAACCACCAGCACCCATTGGAAGAAGTGAAGAATTCAATTTCTACCTCGCGAATACACTCCTTGGGAAAGTAACTGTTCCTGCAGGTGCTGCCCCATCACGCTTTTCTCTGGCCCGGATTTGTTTCGACCCATTTTGTGATAATTTTCGGACACCAGTTCCAAACGCTTATTTGTTAGAAGTTGAGTTCAAAAGCACCGCTTCCCACCCAGTCCATCATTTCTTGAGTATGTCCAAAAGGGGGTGTTGTAAAATAGGGGACCACCCAGGCTACGACCTTCTGGAACACTCACTAGACCAGTCTACCCAGCCAGGGGCAATCGGGTGGGTCTCCCTGTTCAAACACACTCTGACAATTGTATTCAGTTACACTCAATTCCCAGGTCGAAAATGGTGAGGGAACGGCAAGGTGGAGAGTCCGCAAATGTGTAGATGTTTTAACAAAAGAGTTTGTCACGTGACTGCGGTGGCGTGCTGCAAAACCCTCGGCGGCTGCAAGTGGCTGAAGGACCAAGGTTTGAGGGGCAGTAGCATGAAGAAGGACCATGAAAACAACGAACAGCAGCGAGGGGAACCATTGGAGTCAGTGTGTTCAGCGCAGGTACGTCCAGAAGGCGTCCCTTCCGGATATCACCGCGGTTCAAGGAGTGTCTTTGTTGAGTGGTGACTCCAAGACTGCGCACCACTCCCCTGCTTTGGAAAAAGGTGGTGACGGTAACGATGGCAGTGAACCCTTTGGCACAGGGGGTGACACACACACGGTGCCGCTTCGCGGCGCGCATGTGAGAAACCTAAATAGTCACCTAAAAAGCCTTAGAAACAAAAGAAAAGAAAGACAGAAAGAGCAGCGCTAAGAGGGCAAGAAAGAAAGATAGGTGTAGGAAAACTGAATACTTAGCCCTTGACTGGGGTAGGGAAACGAGCCTCAAGAACAACCTAAAAAGCCTGAGAGAAAGCCCAACAAACGACCGAAAGCGTAAGAAGGAAAGCGGGGGGCAGGGAAGTGTATGTACATGTGTGTGTGTCCGTGTGTGTGTATGAATACTTAGCCCTCTAGAATTACTGATTACTTAGCAGAAATGAATTACGTGCAATAGCTAGGGAGCGGGACTTTAGTCTTAGACCGCCCGGGTAGGAAAGACTAGAAAAGGAACAACACAGGGAAAGGCACCGACACACAAGTGTGACGAGTACCA